TAGTATTTCCTGCTATTTCAGCTGTTAACTTTATTTTTTCTCTAAGTGTTTTTCTCCCCAGAAGAAGCTTCAATGATGTTCTGCTGAGGTGTGGTGGCCTCATGGAGGGGGCCATCGGCTTGAACACTGTTGCTAACCACTTAAACATTCTCCCTCTCCTGATAATAACGTTTTACTTTCCTTGACGTTGGACGTGTTACTACTAGTTTACCCGTTTAATTATAGATTCACTAGGATAAATACAATAAAGTTAATCTCTCACCAAATAGAAAATTTACTAAGAAATCACAATGTAACCAAAGAAACACTACTTGGTATATCCCATACCATATTTATTTATAAAGCACCATTTCAAAATAGCATGGCAGCTAACCAAAGTGCTGTACATAAAAAGCCAAATGCTTGACCAAGAAACACAATAAGAACAGGCAAAATACATAAGAACAAAGCATAAATAGTCGGAGATAAAAATTCCTACTAAAAACAATAAAATAGGAGAACAGTTAACAGCACTATAAAATAAAATTATGCGACCAATGATAAAAACATTTCAAATGGCACAAATAAAACGAAATAAAATACCAGATGGTGCGAGGTGCCAAAAGTGAGCAACTAAATCATAAAAATGGAATTAAAAACTCAAATCCGGTGCTAGATTGTCATGAAAAGTGTCACGGAGGGAAGGCAATGCTAAAGAAGTGCGCTTTCAGGGCCGACTTGAAACTGCTAACAGAGGGAGCCAGACGCACACGGAGGGACAGAGAGTTCCAGAGTTTTGGGGCTGCATAAGAGAAGGCACGCTCCCCCCGTGAACAACAAGCAGCAGATGATCTGCTGACCGATATGTTATGTGTGTGTGTGTGTGGGTGGGCTGGTGTTGGTGTATGCGTGTGTCTGCTCTGTCTTCTCCAACCCCAGTGAGTCGTGGTGGATGGCTGCTTATACTGAGCCAGGATCCTCTGGAGGTTTCTTCCTGTTAAAAGGGGTTTTTCCTCTCCACTGTCGCTAAATGCTTGCTTAGTATGAGGATTGCTGTAAAGCAGGGGTGGGCAATCCCAGTCCTCGAGGGCCGCTGTCCAGCAGGTTTTACTTGTTTCTCTGCTTAAACACACTTGGTTTGAATCTACTAGTGATTAACAGGCTGCTGCAGAGCCTGATGAGCTGCTGAACAGGTGATTCATCCAGGAATCAGGTGAAACAATTTTTCACCAGGCCTGACAAGTTTGCAAAATATTGTGAGTTTGGGGTATTTGGGGTATGATAAGGTCCCCAAAAAGCCATTCAAAGCGGGCTTAGAATAACAAAAAATAAACAGCAAAATCAAGAGGCCTTCGCAGCGCTTTCGCTGCTCGGGCCTAATAAAGTTTTAAGTATCAGGCGTGACATTAAAGCAGCAGCTTCGATGCTGCACCTGAGAGTAAATCTGTAAGGCTTGTCGCCAGCATTCAGACATCACAGCCAGACAGGACACGGGAAAAATAAGTAAATAAAAAATCAAAAGACTAACAAATTAATCAAGCTTCAGCTCGTAAGTCCCTTAAACATGCGTGAGAAACAATTCCAGATTGTATAAATAAAAAGTGGGCATTGTCCTCAGGACTTACTGCTCAGGACTGAGCCCAGGGGAAAGTGCTGGCCAAGGACAAATCTTCTGCACACTATCCTGGTCCTGGACCCCATTCGTCAGTGGCCTGAGGGTAGCTTGATATACCGATGCACGCTGTAGTCAGATACACACCAGCTCCAAGCGATGCTGCCTTCACACACAACTCGTTCGGGGTCAGGGCTTTTTCTGAATAGGAGGATGTTTGGTGATTCTATGTTTATGTATTTAGCAGACGCTTTTGTCCAAAGCGACTTACAAGTGATAATCGGCATGTTGCCCTTGAGGCTAACAACAACAACATTTTTGATTCTAGACTAAAATCCTCCTTATGAGAGAGGGATCTTAGTTTATCGGTCAGCCATGCATCTAAAATCCTGTTTTCTAGCGGGCATCAGACCCTCCGTCCTGGATTCATTTATTAATTCATCTGTGTTTATCTCACAACACATCTGTGCTGGAGCTCCAGCAAATCTTTCCAAAGCTTAAAGTGATCTCGTATTTCTGAGCTGTGATCTGGCTGAACCCTCCTCTATGCACTCCCATCCGAGCGAGAGCCCCTGATGTGTGTTCAGTCATTGTTTTCCTACCTCGATCAGAATTCATATCTTGTACAAGTTCACTCATTCCTACCTGTGTTCTTACTTGTGTATCGTGTCCCTTGTTTAGCTCAGCTTCCTGATTATTGAACACGACCTTCGGCACATTTAAAGACCTCCTGTTTGTCATACATAATACAAGTTCATTTTGTACTAAAGGTTAAACACGAGCAGTGTTGCCAACTGGTTTTGACTGAAAGTAGCTGAAGTTCCCCCCAAAAGTCGCTAGATGTCGCCAGATGACGTCATGTGCTAATTTACATATTGATGACGTCATTACACCACATTGGCGTTCATTTTTCCCATAGCGTAACTCAGACCTGCTCTCCTCATTCTCACAGCCATTTTCCTAAAAAGCTGTTTTTTTTTACACCTCATAGTTTCTCTACTTCTCTGTTGTGTATTCTCTCCATCGTGATAATAGCGGCGCACCGAGCAAAAGGGAGCGGGTGTCTCATAGTATAACCATCCCTGTGTCACTGAAGGAAATTCAGATGAGCCACAGAGCTGAGTGTGTAAATGGGACGGTAGTTGAAACTCCCGATGACTGTATTGACATATTGTTTGGATTATTTAGACGGAGTTCCTACAGTTTAATTGGTATCAATTGCTATTCTCGCTTGTAGTCCGCATTTCACTTCTCTTCTGTTATGTGTGCTAAATACTGGTTTATTTGTGTATTATTCCATTTACTCCATGTGTATCCATCCATGACGTCAGTTCAGTTGAGGTGTGGTATAATGCCAGGCTAATTGGCAGCATGGTTTAGTAGTGTGGTACTTGCAACAGCAGTACCTTGGTTTGACCACCAGAGGTCCCTGGAGACCATATAATTTGTCAGTGCCTCTGAGGCTGGAAGTCACAATATTTACTCTGTGTAACCCTTGAATGTGCATCATTTGGGAATATATTTGTTTTTGAATAGTCTTTAACATTTGCATATTTATTTCACCATTTGTACAGTCCTTTTACATCATTCTTTGTATTTATTTTCCAGACCACACGGAACCACAGAAATGTATAGATGTCCACACTTCTACTGTCAATAAATACGTAAAACTGTCTCTCCGTGCCCTGCTCTCTGACCGGAGTCCTTATCTTGAAGATACTGTCAGATCAGCAAATAACTTCCAGAGTTCCCACTCTATCACAGTGTTCGTTATGGCCAAACTGTGGCTTGCACAGAAGTCCAATAACGAAACACCACTCGAGTTCAGATCAGGTGGGCCGTTCCTCCCAATCACACCCCTCCAGGTCATGCTGTCATTGCCCACGTGAGCATTGAGGTCCCCCAGCAGGACAATGGAATCCCCTGATGGAGCACTATCTAGCACTCGTCCCAGGGACTCCAAAAAGGGTGGGTACTCTGAACTGATATTTGGCCCATAAGCACAAACAACAGTCAAGACTTGTTCACTGACCCGAAGGCGTAGGGAAGCTACCCTCTCGTCCCCCGGGGTAAACCCCAACACACGGGCAGAGAGTCTTGGGGCTAACAAAAAGCCAACCCCAGCTCTCCATCTCTCACCTGGAGCAACTCCAGCAAAGGAGAGTGTCCAACCCCTCTCAAGGACTTGGGTTCCAGAGCCAATGTGTCGAGGTGAGTCCGACAATACCTAGCCGGTACCACTCAACCTCTGCCACAAGCTCCTGCTCCTTCCCCACCAGCGAGGTGACGTTCCATGTCCCAAAAACCAGTTTTCTTGTCCGGGGATCGGACCACCAAGGCTCCCGCCTCGGTCTGCCACCCGATCCACACTGCACCGGACCCTTCATGTTCCTCCTGCGGGTGGTGGGTCCACAGTTGGATGAGCCCATGTATCCGGTTCGGGCTGGGCCCGGCCGGGCCCCATGGGCGAAAGCTCGGCCACTAGGCGCTCGCTCACGGGCCCCAACCCCAGGCCTGGCTCCAGGGTGGGACCCCGGTAACCCTCCGCGCCGGGTACTCAGACTCTTTGATTGTACATCCATGAAAGATCCTCTGTACTGGCATTATCCCGTTACACAATAACACCAACTGCAATATTATTTATGAGTTCAGTACTCATGCAATACCGGATTTACATTGCATGACTGTGTCTCTTGCAGTATGCTGCATAGTGTTGGAACCTGAGTTTTTTCAATTTTTTAATTCGTGGTTTTTAGAGGTCGAAGGTTACAATACTAGACTGCTGTACCTTTGTTATTATTTATCTTCAAATTATTCTCTAAGTGTTGATGCTGCTGTAAGAAGTGAATTTCCCCACTGTGGGATCAATAAAGTCTATTCTGTTCTATGAAATTATCAACATCGTCGCTATTTGAATTTAAGTTCTCTTTCCCATAAGCAGCAGTGCGTTTCATTTTATGTAACACCTAGTTCCTGTTCAGGAGAATGTGTGTGTGCTTGACTTTGTGGTGACCCGATGACCTCGTCCTCTGTCTTTGTTGTGTGGGCCCGACCAAGGTGTACTGATAATCCGAACTGACCTAATATTTTACACAACTAATCAGATACTTTCAGACAATGAAATACAAATCTGATTCGTGTGAATGATTTAATATTTTTTGAATGGATCAGTTACATATCTGTTTGAGCACACAGCTAACCTGGTCCCTGCCCTAAGCAGCAATGTCAGTTTTTCTTAGTGTTCTGCCTTTTTGTCTATAATATAGTCTGATAAATAATCAGTTTTATTTTACATCCACCAAATTAATTTTAGATTCGATATTACAGAAAACGAGAACGGCTAGCCGACAAATTAAAAATGTGCCCTTGTCAGGAACGCTCGCTGGCTGCTTCCAGGCGCATGACTTGAAGCTGGCGAGCGACTTGTTGGAGACCCTTGCGTCAGGCAGTCTTTGGACCAGAGCTGTGAGGGACAGAAATTGCATAGATGGCATCAGCTTAGGATTGGTGCTCATTTTAAATGGCTTTAGCATCAACTTTGGATGATTTCCTTTATTTAAAAACAAGACGTATTTGTTTCTTCTTCTTCGATGGTGCATAGCAGACTACCCCGATGACTGATTTCCGAAGCTATGAATACGTCACATTGTCTGTTGCTCTGATTGGTTATAGCGCTGTCCAATTGCGTGCAGAGACCATCATAGATTCTTTCCCAGAACAGAGCTCTGTCTACGGGACTGTAGGATGGCTTTCCAGAATAATAATTTGGGAAACCTTGCATGGCTAAATAGATGCCTACATTTGATTTAACAGGTCTTGTTTATTTGGAATCTCTTGTTTTCTCATCTAATTACTTGCTTTGATAAAACATTCAATTATGAATGAATGAATGAAATCTTTATTTTTGGACATTTTAAACGTGCAATAATAATAATAAAAAATATTAAGTCATTGTAGACATTAAAAATGCAATCACACTGATAATCACACATAAAAGTTTGTCATATTCTGTTTGAAAAGGTGTAGGAGGAAGCTGATGATTATTAAATCCTTACCCCTCTGACACATAAAACATAATACAGTGACCTAATGTGCAAAAAAATAATAATTATGTGAAACAAGCTGGTTTTCATGTGTTTTATAGAGCCAACAGTCATATTTGTGGTTATATATTCACTTGGTAATCCTTTATGTCGACTTTTCTTGACTGTTTGTTTTATTTCAATGTTTTAACTTTTAGTGTTGAAACATGCAGCCACATTTAATTAAATATGTTTAACGTGGCGCTTTTATTTTGAAAGTGCCGACCGGATGTTGGGGTTGGTGACGGGGTCTGATGCAGCTGGAGGATGCAGATCTGCAGTGCGGACAAACAGGCTGGAGCTGGACATCCCTGTCTCCGTCTCCGTCCTGACAGACGCCCCGGGTCAGCTTTAGCCGGGTCTCTCCTTAGTCACTCTCCCGGTTCCGGTCCAGCAGAAGGCAGGAAGGACCAGTCCGCATCCTCCCCCTCAACATCATCTGCATCATCGGAGAACCGGAGCAGCACCCGCACCAGGACAGCAGCTCGGCTGCAATGAGCCCTCCCGGACCCTGAAACCAGATCCGGTCTTTTGTTTCTTCTTGGATTCGGTTTGTTCCGGACCTGCAGCCGGTCTGCTCTGCTCGGGACGTCTGCGTTTAGCACGGGCCCGGTCCGGTCTGGCTGCTTGTCGGGGGGAAATAAATGGTGATCTAGTCCTGTGGGAGTCTGAGGCCCAGACCCCGGCCCCCCCTCAGAGGAACGGTGGGTTTTCTGGACCAGAACGTTTTGTGCCGAAGTAAAATCCCAGATGAAGATTCCCAAAAGGCGGAAAAGGAGCGGACGGTGCGCCAGGTAGGCCAGATCGGGACCAGCCTTGGGTCGGAGCGTTGTGTGTGTGTGTGTGTGTGTGTGTCCCGCAACGGGGGGTGAGGGGTTGGACCCGCATCAGAGGTGTGATCACAAGGGGTCATCCGGGTCATTGGGACCGAGATGTGGGTTGTGTAACTGTAATCATCTATAATTCATAACCTGGGTCAGTCCGGACTAGATCTATTGATTAGCAAGGATGTGGTGGTGCGCATGCGCACAGAGGACCCATGACTGTGCACTGCAGAGAAGAAAGATTGAATAAGAGTGATGCAGGGGATGGTGGGGGTATAAACCTGGACCGTGCGCGGCCCCATGCGCTCCTCGCGTGCACGCGCCGGTACATTTAGCTTTATTTGCTCTAATCCAGTAGTTGTAAACGAAAAACAAAATAGGTTTTCATGAAGTTTTCTGCATTTAACTCATTTTATCTCATCACGTTTGAACGAGTTCATCAGTAAATGTAACATCCTGTCCGGTTTGACCAGTTATTTATTAATAGCTAATTGACGGGTTCAACAACTTAAACATTTTTTCTAAAACAACAAAACTTCATTTATCAATGACATTCAATCAACCATAATTTCAAGCTAAACTTATTTAAGATGAAAGCATTAAAAAATAAATATACTTCGGTGACAGCAAGATCGAGGTGCTGACTGCTGAGGTAGGAGAACCAGTAGAAGAAGGAATGTGGCCTGGGAGAAAGTGGTGGAGCTGGTAAACATTCAGGGCCGAGGAGAGGTCCCTATCACAAATAAACTCAATACAAACAAACAATGTATTAGACTGGATGTTCATGTTTTCTGAGTGCAGCCTACTCTGTTGGCTGCAGAGCTGTCAATCAGTTTTGTTACCTTGGCAACATGTGTATGTTGGGGGGCAGAGTGTGAGAAGGTGCTGGGGGGTTTCCCGTGTTGTTGTTGCTTTCAGTGAAGATGAGAATAGGTAAATAACAAATAGGTGGTATCTGCTCTGGAGCCACTGTATTATTACCAATCAGATCAGGGGCGGCCATGGCAGAGGAATCAAGTGCACACCCCGCAACCAGAGGGTTGCAGGTTCAAGCCCTGTCTGTCGCAGTCATTGTGTCCTTGGGCAAGACACTTAACTCTTCTTGGTGGTTGGAGGGAGCCTTGGCAGCCTTGCCCCCAGTTAGTGCACCCTAGAACAGCTGTGGCCACCACCACCACCACCAGTGTGTGAATGTGAGTAAATGGATGAATGACTGGTTGTATTGTAAAGCACCTTTGGGGGTTGTAGAACCCTAGAAAGCCCAATACCAAATACTTTTATTACTTACTCTTTATCAGTGCCCTTCATACTGCAAAGGCCTCCAAAAACACAAGATCATCTAGTGTCAGATTCCTGTTGGTCACAGGTGTCTTTTATGGGCTCTAGCACCAATATGCACCAAAGCTGTTCCTCTACACACGTACTTATTTAGTGAAAATAATTTCTGGATGGGGAACATGGATGACGGAGACCTTCAGTATTGTGCTTCCCTGCTCTATCACTAGATGTTGTTTGTACGCATGGCCCAAGCTGTTTTTATAGTTAGAAACATTTCTATGCACAAGTTCAAGATAGTACACAATGCATTAAATAGTTTTTACAAATGCACAGGTTTGTGCACAAGTACGGTTGATAAATGAAGACCCTCGATTCCAATTTGATGAAGTTTTTCTACATAGTCACTGATCAGTGACCGGCAGTGATGTCCGTGGAATAGTTGACTGGTTGACTAAGGCCTAGTCCGCACGTAGCCGGGTTTTTTAAAAAACGAATATCCGCCCCTCCAAAAACTTGCATCCACACCACCTTGTTTAAAACAAAACTCTGTCCACACGTACCCGGATAAATACGTTGTTAAGGACATGCCAGACCTGTAGGCGGCAGTATTTCCCCCGTTCTTAACCTCGTCCTTCGTCTGTGGTCTTCCGCAAGGAGCAGTAATTCCGCTTGCACAAACAAACAAGCAAAAAGCGCTTGGACCATTGATAAAGCGAGCGCAGCTCTGAGGGCATCCATGCTGTCGGCTAGTGTAAACACAGGTCGCACACGTGATGTCAGCATTTTTTGTCGCGGAAAGTGACGTTGCGGACCTTAAAACTCCGGTTTTGTCCGTCCACACGCAGACACCCAAAACGGAGAAAACGCAGATCTTCACTTTGGCCGGAGTTTTTAAAAAGATCCGTTTTCATGTGAAAAAACTCTGTTTTTGTGTGGATGACAGGCCAAAACGTAGAAAAATACCCACGTTTTGGCAGATCCCCGGCTACGTGTGGACAGGGCCTTAATCTGTTTACTTAGAGTGGGACGTGAAAGTTTGGGCAGCCTTGTTAATCTCCATGGTTTTGCTGGATAAATCATTGGTTGTTACAATAAAAAAGTTAAATATATCCAATAGGAGACGCACACACAGTGATGTTTGAGAAGTGAAACAAAGTTTATAGGATTTACAGAAATAATTGTTTAAACAAAATTAGGCAGGTACATAAATTTGGGCCCTATTGTCATTTTATTGATTCCAAAACCTAGAACTGATTATTGGAACTCTAAAATGGGTTGGTAAGCTCAGTGACCTTTGACCTCCACACACAGGTGAATCCAGTTATGAGAAAGAGGGTGTTTCTCAATGTCAAGGCGCCTGGCCTTGCGAGGCGATGTCTTGCGAGGCCAGGTGCCTTACTCCCGAAAACACTGTCCTTCCTATGTGAGGGATCAGAAAAAGTTCAGACCAAGGACCCCTCATAATGATAACAATAAATGAAAATAGAGTTCCCTCGCCTGGATGTGGGTCACCAGGGCCCCCCTCTGGAACCAGGCTTGGAGGTGGGGCATGCTTGCAAGCACCTGATGGCCAAATTTTCACCCATGGGGCCCAGCTGGGTCCCCCTTCTCATTGTCTCACCTCGACTCATGGCTCTGGCTCTGGAACCAGTTTCCTGGAGAGGGGTTGGTCGCTCTACCAGTGTTCATTTTGACAAGAAATTTTCATTTAGCTTTAGTCTCGTATTAGTTTGGTAAACAAATCTGTATAATGTGCAGTAATATGTGTAAATGACAGGAAATGACATCATACTATCCAAATAAACATTCAAATGTGCAAGGGGGTAAATTAAAGGTAAGACTTGTTTTCAGGTGTAGTTTCCTGGCAATAATGTACCAAGGTGGACTGCCTGAATGTCTTTTCCTCACTTAAACTAGAACACCGAATGCTGATAACAATGGCCGCAGCAGGGCCACAAGAACATTAAACAACCAGATTCGCCTCTCTGCGCAAGCGGACATTATCTCCTTTAAGACATAAACTACCAGCATATGTCGGTTAGACGTCCTGTTAGTGCTAGCTTGTTGAAATAGCGGCCAGATCTGGATTCTGACGATTCCCGTCTAACCCCGCCTGCTCCATTTGATGATTGGTTCTTTTTTGCGTCGTCCCATCTTTTCCGTTTTCTGATTGGATTTTGGTTTCTGTCACTTTTTATTGTCGTCTCTTACTCATCAACAAAAATGTTGATCAATATTCATCATAATTTAGTCTTTATTGGCATGTATTTTTAGGTTTTTGTTTAGTTTTAGTCTGCAAGAATTAATTCATCGTGAAAAAATAAGTTGTGGTTTGGAGGACTGCCTCCTACGATCAGCATCTAAGTGTTTTGTTATTGGACTGCTATGCTTATCATGGATTTTCCATAATGAACCTTGTGTTCAAGCATTAGGATGTCCATATGTGCTCTTGGCACTAGGTCGCAGTTCAGTGATTAACTTTGTTGTTGTCTCTTCTGATCTGCAGCCAGATGGCGAAGAGAGAAGTGGAGCCGTTAACTGACCACTACCTGGTGATCAGTTGGTACCTATAGTGGGGAAGAATGCCGTCATACCTGGCAAGCCCAAACGTGTTTTGAAGGTCTGCTGGGAACATCTGGCAGATTCTCCTGTCAGAATGAGTTTCAATTCCCACCTCCAACAGAACTTTGAATGCATCCCAAGGGAGACAGGGGACATTGAGTCTAAGTGGGCTATGCTCCTTGGCGTTGCCTTCATTGTCAAGGCGGCTGACCAGACCTGTGGCAACCTCTGAACACGCTGGTGGATACTGGCGGTTAGAGATGCTGTTAAGCTGAAGAAGGAAACCTATCAGGTCTTTTTGGCCTGTGGGACTTCAGAGGCAACTAATGTGTACTGGCAGTACAAGCCGTATGCTGCTCGGGTGGTTGGTGAGGCCATGGAGAAAGACTTCCAATTGGCTTTGAAGAGATTCTGGTCCACCAACTGGGGTCTAAGGTGGGGACACAATGCAATACCAATACTTTTAAATGGGGACGGTGTGCTGCTTACTTTGACATGGGATGATGTGGATTGGTGGGTGGAGGTCTCCTCAGTCCCACCATTTGGTTAGAATGCCTTCTGGATGCCTCTCTGGTGAGGTTTTCCGTACATGTCCTACCGAAAAGAGGCCTTTAGAAAGACCCAGGACACGCTGGGGGACTAGAGGTGTTTCTCAATGTCAAGGCGCCTGGCCTTGTGAGGCGATGTCTTGCGAGGCCAGGCGCCTTGCTTACGAGGACACTGTCCTTCCTTGGTCAAAGAAAACGGTTAAATGGAACAGACTTGCATCACGTGACCGCGGCTTCCACGGCGGTCACGTAACGTCACGTGACACAGGAGATAATCTTATATTTCATACCTATTAGTTTCAACATAAATATATAATGAGTATTTTACTTTTTAAATTGTGTATATGTTCATTAAAATTAAAATATAAGCAAGTTACTACCCGCTAGCCACCAAAGCTGCAACTACTAAGCAACTAACCAACCATAGATAACTTCTTTAGATCTAAAAACATTTTAAATTAGTTGACTTACTTTTAAACTTGAAATTTGCCCCCGAAGTAGCAGCCGACTTCTGATCCGCCATCCTTTTGAAAATACCGCGGTGTATTCTGGGTAATTTTTGACCAAGGCTAGGCTACAAGACACCTCCCGTGTGTCCTCACTCAGCTAGCTAAACAGCTAACAAACGGAGAACGCACGCCTCGGTAGAACATGAACATTGGAACACATCTTGACGGCTCCTGATGACGTATCTCCTAGGCAACTGGGGCGGGGCCAAGGCATCAAGTTGAGGTTCCTTGGCATCGAGAAACACCCTGTGTTTCTTGTCTGGCCCGGGAACGCTTCAGGATCCGCCCTGAGGAGCTGGCCCAAGGCTTGGGAGAGGAAAGTCTTGGCCTCTCTGCTTAGGCTGCTGCCCCTGTGACCTGACTCCAGATAAGCAGAGGAAAATGGATGGATAGGAAGATGATGGATGGATGGATGGATGGATGGATGGATGGATTTAAATTCCACATGTCCAACATGACTCTGTGACAGCTTTAAGAGAACAGTAGCCTCACACATTTTTCTAACTTGTTCAAAATTTGCATGACTCACGAACAAGGTCCAGAGACTCGTGAGGGAATCAGGGAAAATTCCAAACATCATTAACAGTCAGTCCAGTGAGACACTGGATGAAGTTGGTCATTCATTTTGGAAGACTGAAAATATATAACCTGTAAGGTGCTTTCAGAAATGTATCTTTAATACAAACAATGTGACTTTAAATAAAAGGTGATGTTTTTGTGTAAAATGACCACTATAACGGGGTTTTAACCAGGCTGAAGTTTGTGGTCAGCAGCCATCACAAAACAAACAGCTGTGTTGTTTTTAATGGCCTGACATTACATAGAAATGCTAACAATAAACTGTTATTGTACACACTGTATTTGCTGTTTGAGGATCAGAACGCGTAACATTAACGTCTGAAGCCCTGTCCTTCCATGTTTGACCTTTTAGTGATGTCGGGGCAGAAGACTGTGGTGGTTAGTTGTCTCTGTCTTCTACTGATGGTTAACTGTGCCCTCTGTTTTGGCTTGTAGGCTGACACAAGAAAAGGAAGGGTTTTGTCCCGCTCAGGATTTGTTGTAAACCATCAGGTTTTCCAGGAGCTCAGAACTATGGTGAGCTCTGAGTGACTTCATGAACTCAAAACTGGAACGATGCAAAACTAGTCACTGGCAGAACATCCCACCCTCTTCCACCCAGTTATGAATTAGTAGACTTGCAGGTATGGAAGAAAAGACTAAAATGAAACTGAGGTTTGAGAGAACAGGAAGTGTTGGTCAGGATGCTTCACTTGAATCTGCTGCTGAGACACGGTCACAGTCAGGATTCCCTGCTGATGCACCACGTTTCCTTCCTTGATTAACACGTCAGTGCTGATTATTAGGGATGCAACGATACCACTTTTTTCCAAACCGATACGATACCGATACTTGAATCTGAGTACTCGCCGATACCGATTACGATACAGATACTTCTACCACACAAAAAAATGCAATGAATTGGAGTGCAGGTTTAATTTTCTTCACTTTTCATTAGGAAAAGACTGTGAGGTAGATAAAAAGTAATAGAAGTGATCACAAAACTAAAATATTAGGTGAACAGAAATGACAAGTTACAGTGAAGTCACTTTCAAGCAACTGAATTGGTATCAGTTACTGGTATCTGTTAACTTTTACCGATACCGATACAGGTATCAGTATCTGTATCGGCACCGATACCGAAACCAGTATCGTATTGGTGCATCCCTACTGATTATTACCATCTCAGAACCGCATGCTGCAGTAAAGGTGAAGCTAAATTGTTCTGTTACATACAATTGGATGGTAAAAAAATCAACAGATGAAACTACAAAATGAAACACACATGCATGCTAATTAACTGCAGTATGGATCGCCATCTAGACGGTTTTGTCCATTCCTTACAACTGTTTTATAACATAGATATTACATAAAATTAATATAATGTAAGAAGAGAGGATAAATGTGTTCTTTTATGTTCTTTAATTACCTGGATATGTATCAGACAACAATAAATCTTGTTTGGGACATCCCAACAACCTATTTTTGTTTGTAAGTTATATGATACACGTTGTTATTAAACTACAACAAACTGATAATTTAAGCTGTCTTCTACAACATCAGTTTCTACTTTAACTAGACCAGGAAAAAATATAATTTTGTGGTTATTAACGTGTTTGATGCTCCTTTGGTGCTTCAGAAAAGGAGCTTTTGTTTAAATGAAAATCGAGACATTCCGATGGCTTTCCCAGCTTCCAACATTTCCTGCTTAACGAGTGAAACTAGAAGTTAGAGCCAAAGTGAAAGTTGGTTGGAGCAGCTAGTCGATGGCCATAAAGATGAAATAAGAACCTTTTTATGATTAATTTTAGAAACTTTTCACAGCGTTTTGTGTTCCTACTTATACAGATCTTTTGATGTTTGCCAGAAATTCTGTGGAATCTCTTGGAATTAATATATTGCAACATGATTGCCATCATGGGCCTGGCATCATCATGTCATCTTCCTGAAGACCACGTGTTTCTCTTAATTTTACCCATACGTAACTCTACCCAGAATCACTAATGTGTTGGGTGATAGATTTGTGATTATTAACGTTTATTCAAGGGAACTGAGTGGCCCGGCCTCCTGCAGTGACTTATGTCTCAGCAGCACATTGAGTTCTACAGCAGATTTCACTACATCTCCAGTGTTGCAGTAATCCCCAGCTGCTAGTGGCTGTGCATCTGTTATTGATTATGACGATACTGCTGATAGGGTGAGCTGTATCACTGAAGATGCAGAGAAGCCTCCTCCTCCCTACTTTTGATGTCCGACCAGAAACAAAGAGGACACTTTTCTTTGATCTGCAGTCCGCCTGAGCTCTGCATGCACTAAAGACAGCCCGTGGCACTGCATGCACAACAGCATGGTTTGGCGACTGATGTGCATCAGTTTAAACTTAAATCCCATGAATCTAGGATGGCAGATATGCATCTTTAGGTTGGCTGATTGAAAGACCAAAGATCAACTTGATGAAAGGATAAAAATCTGCAAGTTTTATACAGCTTCTTTAAGACTGAGGAACGCCAGAGGTTGTTAATGTGGGACCTATCGTGTCACATCAGGCGGCCTCTGAAGAAAAGATGGAAGATTAAGAGGATATTATCGTATCACAGGACATGACATCATATCACATTACGACATCATATGGCATTACATCACTATCACTATTCATATATCTCATATCATAGCTCATCTATTATCATTTACAGAGTGGCAAAAAAGTATTTGGCCGCTGGCGTTCAAGTTACCATGTGACCCATCCCTGTGGGGAGCGGTGAGTTGCAGCAGGAACTATTTGGTGGTTTAATCCCCCCCCCCCCCCCCCCATCCAACCCCGTAAAGCTGAGTGTCAAGCAGGGAGGCATTGGGTCCCATTGTTTTAAGTCTTTGGTATGACCCAACAGACACACTACATCATCATGGATTAACCCCTTAGAAGTCCAGCGTCCCGCCATGGGACAAAACACCATTGTGTTCATTAAACCTGGAAGTTCAAGGGGTTAAAATCCTGCAGCCCTCGAATGGTCCCACTGCCAGAACTGGTTCAAGCCCAACATCTGGACCACTCATGTTTTTAACTGGGACAACTTGCACAATCAGTGGCTGTCAAACACTTTATTGTCCCTCTGTATGTCATGTCATGTTATATATTTATGAATATCTCAGATCTTGACTGCACAATATTATAAAAACAATTATGTGATTGTCTCTCTTAGATTGTTTTAGTATCTTGGCCATGCTTCTCTAAACCAGGTGTGGGCATCGAGGTGCAACGAGAGTGCATTCCGTTAGAGAAATGTATTATTGGCTTGCAGAGCATGGATGCATGACACACTGGAGCGTGGAATTTATTTTAGTTGAAGTAATTCTATTGCAACAATAATTTGCCCACCTTGATTTGCTTTTGTATATATTGTGCAGCATTATCTGTATGCAGTTCATGAAAGCCAAACGTATCTCACATTTTACTTTAATTCCTGCTTTCTATCATTTTTACATAATATATTTCATATCATAGCTCTTCTCATCAAATTTCATATCTCATTTTCATTGTTAATTATATCATTTCCCTTCTCATATATTTTATCTCACTTAATCTCATGTTGCTCATCACATCCAATCACACATTTGTTCTCATAGTTGAAGTCTTATCTCTCATCTCTTCAAAGCTCACATCTCCTCTCATCTCATTTATCATCTCATGTATCGTCTCATCTCATTTATCATCTCCTATCATCTCATTTATCATCTCATCTCATTTATCATTTCATCTCCTCTCATCTCATTTATAATCTCTCATCTCATTTATCATCTCATCTCATTTATCATCTCCTCTCATCTCATTTATCATCTCATCTCATTTATCATCTCAGCTCCTCTCATCTCATCTCGTTTATCATCTCCTCTCATTTATCATTTCATCTCCTCTCATCTCATTTATCATCTCATCTCATTTATCATCTCCTCTCATCTCGTTTATCATCTCATCTCATTTATCATCTCAGTTCCTCTCATCTCATCTCGTTTATCATCTCCTCTCATCTCGTTTATCATCTCCTCTCATCTCGTTTATCATCTCCTCTCATCTCGTTTATCATCTCCTCTCATCTCGTTTATCATCTCCTCTCATCTCATTTATCATCTCCTCTCATCTCATTTATCATCTCATCTCATCTCGTTTATCATCTCCTCTCATCTCGTTTATCATCTCATTTATCATCTAATCTCCTCTCATCTCATTTATCATCTCATCTCATTTATCATCTCCTCTCATCTCGTTTATCATCTCCTCTCATCTCATTTATCATCTCCTCTCATCTCATTTATCATCGCTTCTCCTTTCATTTATCATCGCTTCTCCTCTCATCTCATTTATCATCTCCTCTCATCTCATTTATCATCTCCTCTCATCTCGTTTATCATCTCCTCTCATCTCATTTATCATCTCCTCTCATCTCATTTATCATCGCTTCTCCTTTCATTTATCATCGCTTCTCCTCTCATCTCATTTATCATCTCCTCTCATCTCATTTATCATCTCCTCTCATCTCATTTATCATCGCTTCTCCTCTCATCTCATTTCTCATCTCATCTAATTTATCATCTCCTCTCATCTCATTTATCATCTCATCTCATTTATCATCGCTTCTCCTCTCATCTCATTTCTCATCTCCTCTCATCTCATTTCTCATCTCCTCTCATCTCATTTCTCATCTCATCTCATCTCATTCATCATCTCCTCTCATCTCATTTATCATCTCCTCTCATCTCATTTCTCATCTCCTCATCTCATTTATCATCTCATCTCATCTCATCTCATCTCATGTATCATCGCTTCTCCTCTCATCTCATTTATCATCTCCTCTCATCTCATTTATCATCTCCTCTAATCTCATTTATCATCTCCTCTCATCTCATTTATCATCTCCTCTCATCTCATCTCATTTATCATCTCCTCTCATCTCATTTATCATCGCTTCTCCTCTCATCTCATTTATCATCTCCTCTCATCTCATTTATCATCTCCTCTCATCTCATTTATCATCTCCTCTCATCTCATTTATCATCTCCTCTCATCTCATCTCATTTCTCATCTCTTCTCATCTCATTTCTCATCTCCTCTCATCTCATTTATCATCTCATCTCATCTCATGTATCATCTCCTCTCATCTCATTTATCATCTCATCTCATCTCATGTAATTTATCATCGCATCTCCTTTCATCTCATTTCTCATCTCCTCTTCTCATTTCTCATCTCCTCTCATCTCTTCTCTTCTCATCTCCTCTCCTCTAATCAAATTTCTCATCTCATCTCATCTCATTTATCATCTCATCTCATCTCATGACAGTCTCAGAAAATCTCTGTTATGTCTGGGATCAACCAAAATTTCTTTGAACTTTAAAAGAGCTTTCAAACCTTTTAACACATTTCCTTAATATTTTTTGATTGCCCCCTAAATGCCTTCTTACATGCACAACAAGTACACATATGAAATCAACTTTTTATATGTTATGGTTTTTAATATGAATGAAGTTTTCGAGTTGCTGTCTGTTCCTGTCATTGTTGGCAGTAATGCATGCGTTAGTGTTCCTTTAAGGTGTCCTTTGTCGGCAAAACATAGTCTCATTCTTGCTGAGAACTCTACTTTCAGAACAATACCCGCTACCTGTGCTAGCGGCCTATCCTAGTTTAGCCTAAGCATTGGAAACATAGGTAAACCTCTGGGCTGGCTTTGTTCACATGTAGGGCGATGTACACATTTGGATATATTTATAGATAGATAGATGGATAGATAGATGGATAGATAGATGGATAGATAGATAGATAGATAGATAGATAGATAGATAGATAGATAGATAGATAGATAGATAGATAGATAGATAGATAGATAGATAGATAGATTTACACACACTGGCCACTTTATTGGGTACACCATGCTAGGACACCCTTCTGGCTTCAGAAAGCCTTAATGCTTCGTGGCATAGATTCAGCAAGGTACTGGAAACATTCCTGAAAGATTTTGGTCCATATTAACAAGACAGCATCACACAGGTTGTCAGCTACACATCCATGATCTCCTGTTCCACCACATCCCAAAGGATTTCTATTGGACTGAGATCTGTTGACGGTGGAGGCTGTTTGGGTACAGTGAGCCTGTGTGAATTTTTGCCTCAGTTTCCTGTTCTTAGCTGACAGGAGTGGCACTTGGTGTGGTTTCCTGCTGCTGGAGTCCATGTGCCTCAAGGTTCGACGTGTTGTGTGTTCAGAGATGCTCTTCTGCATACCATAACGTGTGGTTATTTGAGTTACTGTCGCTCTAACCAGTCTGGTCATTATCCTCTGACCTCTGGCATCAACAAAGAATTTTTGCCCACAGAACTGCCGCTCACTGGCTATTTTCCCTTTTCAGACCCTTCTCTGTAAACCCTTGAGATTGTGTATGACTATCCCAGACGTTCAACAGTTTCTGAAATACTCAGACCAGCCCGTCTGGTACCAACAACTACGCAACGTTCGAAGTCAGTTGAATCACCTTTCTTCCTCATTCTGAAGCTCGGTTTGAACTGCAGCAGGTTGTCTTGACCACCATGTGATTGGCTGGTTGTTAATTTGCGTTAACGAGCAGTTGGACAGTTGTGCCCAATAAAGTGGCCAGTGAGAATATGAGTATATATATATATATATATATATATATATATATATATATATATATATATATATATATATTAGTGCTCAGCATAAACAAGTACACCCCACTACATCAGTCAAAAAACCTTTAGTTTCCTGTCAGAATCAACATTTTCTATTTAGAACGGAGTTGTGAACGTTTCTCATCCCTTCAGCTGTTGGGCTGCTTATTGAACAGTTTCATTTCTAGATAGTAGAGTGTGAACTTCATCAGACCTGACAGACTCAAGTCCCTGCGCCATGCTTGTGATTGTTAGTTTATGGTTGTTCATTTTAACGATTCGCTCCAGTTGATTGCTCTCAGGCTGCAGGCAGTGGCTGCAGTCAGGATGAGAGCAGATTCTCCAGCTGCTTCTTCTGCACATATGATATTTGCTCAAGTTACTGCAAATACCATCATACCCACCCCCCACCCCTGTCACTCACACTGCCAGTTGCAACCCCCCCCCCCTACCAGCCTGTAGCCTGATCCAGCTGAAGAATGGCTTCTAATGGCATCTAATGCCTGTTGTTATACTGGACTGCTGTGAATCTCTCCCAGTGGAGCGCTGAATGTGAAGGTGGACTCTCCTTGTACCAAGATGATGACATACTTGTTCTGCTTTCCTGTCCATCTTTTCTTACTTCCTGTCCTCATCCTCACAGATAAATGGCTCTTTTAAGCTTGGAGCTGCTCGTGTTCTGTCTGGCTGGCAGATGCAGTGCCTAGTCCCCGGCCACCAGGACAACGGCAACATGAACGGGACGTCTGAGCAGGCAGACATCCTGCCGCCAAACTGCATGGTCAAAGACCGATGGAAAGTGGTGAGTGGAGGACCTCCCTATCTGACAATTCTTTATTTATGTTGCTCTTTACAAATAAACGAGTATATCGCGGTTCTGTTCCTATCGCACGTGATTTAATTAAACATTTGTCTCAAAATCTTTCTTTTGTCTCAATAGATTTTGTAAATATAGTATTTGTATCAGTATTTATGTATTTAACACTCTTTTTTTTGTTCAAATCATTTATTTGTTAGGCTTTTGTATCATAAAATGTCCAAATAGAGTGGATTAACACAAAATTTACATCGTTTTTCTTTTCAATATGACAGAATAATAAAAAAATAACTAAATGCTTTGCCTTTGAGCCGAGGGTCTGAACCCTAAATTTAAATGGTTAATTTAACTAAAAATCTAAATCAAGTTCAGCTTCTGTTCTAGTTTGTTTGGACAAAATAAAAGGTAATTTATCCATTAAGAGTTGAGCCTCCGCAGTAAACATGTCGCTGTTTATTCAACTAAAGCTGAAAGAAATTTTACACTAAAACAAAAAGATTCTTGGCCCAAGTAAACACCAGCTAGTACATTTATATGAGATCTAGCTAACATTTA